ACTGTGGGGCAGTGTGGGGGTCCCACTGGGTTAGCCGTGGGGCTGGGCAGGGCAGGGTATGGGGGGGCAGTGTGGGGGTCCTGCTGGGTTAGCTGTGGGGCTGGGCAGAGTGTGTGGGGGTCCCACTGGGTTAGCCGTGGGGCTGGGCAGGGCAGGGTATGGGGGGGCAGTGTGGGGGTCCTGCTGGGTTAGCTGTGGGGCTGGGCAGAGTGTGTGGGGGTCCCACTGGGTTAGCCGTGGGGCTGGGCAGGGCACGGGGTGCGGTGGGGAAGGGGCCGTGGGGCCGGTACCTTCTGCACGATGTCGCGGTGGCCGTGGCTGGCCGCCAGGTGCAGGGGGGTGTCGTCCCCCCGGTTCATGACGTTGATGCGCGCCCCCCGCATGATGAGCATGTCCACCACGTTGGAGCGGCCCTCGCGGCAGGCCCAGTGCAGGGGGCTGAACCCGTGGTCATCCCTGCGGCGGGGGGCAGGGGGGCTACGCTGAGCAGCCGCCGCTTGCCCAGCCTGTCCTCCCCGGGCCGGGAAAGGGGGGAGTGCGGCTGGGGAGCTGCCGGTGTGGCCACTGCGGCTGCTGGTGTGGCCACTGCGGCTGCTAGGGCCACTATGGCTGCTGGTGTGGCCACTGTGGCCAGTATGGTGGCTGCTGGGATGGCTGCTATAGCTGCCAGTATGGCTACTACGGCTGCTATGGCCACCATGGCTAGTACAGCTGCACGTATGGCCACTGTAATCACTCTGGCTGCTGGTATGGCAACTAGTGCCAGTATGACTGCTGATATGGCCACTGTGGCCAGTATGGTGGCTGTTGGGATGGCTACTATGGCTGCCAGTATGGCCACAGGTGTGGATGCTATGGCCACTATGGCTGCTGGTGTGGCCACCATGGCTAGTACAGCTGCACGTATGGCCACTGTAGTCACTATGGCTGCAGGTATGGCAACTAGTGCCGGTATGGCTGCTGGTATGGCCACTATGGCTGCAGGTACGGCCCCTATAGCCGCTATGGCTGCCAGTATGGCCACAATGGCTATGGGTAGGGTCACTGTGGCCACAGGTATGGCCACCATAGCCACAGGTATGGCCACCATAGCCGCTATGGCCAGTACAGCCCCCGCTATGGCCACAAGTAGGACTGCTATGGCTACTATGACCAGTATGGCTACAGGTGTGGCCACTATGGCTGCTGGTATGGCCACTATGGCCCCGCTATAGGTATGGCCGCTATGGCCACCATGGCCACTACCAGGGTCCCCGTGCGGTGCCAACGAGGGGCCTGGCTCCCCCCTCGCTCCCGGCCCCGTGGGGCCCCACCAGCCCCGGCCAAATCCCCTCTTCTCGGGGGCTGAATCCCAGGGACCTGGCACCAGCCGCA